TATATATATATATTTATTTATTTTCAAATTTTCACACACACATATATATATATACATGCACAGAAACATACGTAACAAAAAACACATGCATACATGCATACATACATACATGCAGCCATTTACACACACACACACATATATATATATGTAAATACATATGTCTAAGCCGGAAGCACCTGTCGTGCTACATAGTGTATGTTGTTTACATATTCGACATTATACTGTACTGGTGTACGCTATGTTGCATTGTGCTTCATTCTGAGACGTCCTGAAAAATAATGCGACATTTGAGGATATGTGCTGATAGTGTCTTAGAAATAGGGCGTGTGTCTGTGTGCGTGTATATGGAGATATACTGTAGCACTAGCGTGCTTGACACATTCTGCTGCCGCATATACCTTCTGTCTGCTCATCTACCTGTGTGTATGTCTGCCTGTGTTCCTGTCATCCTGTTGCATGTAATGGCCAATGTGCTTGTTGGCCTTATTGAGTAGGCTCTGTCATGCTACATTTGCATTGATTAAGACCGTGGTATGAACAGCAATTACAGCTCATACTGCCATACTGTAGGCTTCGTTACATATGTATTTATGCAAACCGCATTGTGTGTGTATCTCTCTCTATAAACAAGTAAGTATGGGTGTATGTACATATATATATACATACATACATACATACATACATTCACCCACTTATAAGGACACACAAACACACATATATATATATATGTATAATATGTACACATGTTTAGGTTGATGTATATTGTACTCAAGTGTATGTACACAGACACACAAACAAAGAAACGGTTGCACAACTGCCTGAGGCCAGCTCGTGTCGCGTCCAGCTCATCTCCAGCTGCAGAGCCTCCAGCATCCCAGGTCATGGAGAAGGTGGGCTGGGATTTAAGGGATGCGTGAAGGTAAATGTAGTAACCCACCACCACCGCCGCCACCACCACCACCACCACCACCACGACCACGACCACGACCACTACCACTACCATCACTACTACTACTACTACTACTACTACTACTACCACTACTACTACCTACTACTACTACTACTACTACTACTACTGGTACTACTACTACTCCTGCTACTACTACTACTACTACTACTACTCCTGCTGCTATTACTACTACTACTACTACTACTACTACTACCACCGCCACCATTAGCGCTAGTGCTAGCACTAGCACTAGCACTGACACTGGCACTAGCACTGGCACTAGCACTAGCACTGCCACTTCCACTTCCACCAGCGCTACTACCATGACGTCGACCACAGAGACGACGACTACACAATACAACCACTACTATCACTACTACAACTACTATATACTACGACTACGAAAGCTCCCACATCCTCAGCAAGTAGAATAAATATGAGTCGGAACAAGAAGTTAAAAGGCATCTTGTCTCCCAAGAGTTTCAGCCCAGCCAGTCCCCGATTTTCCCCGCCCCCTCAAGCGAAATAAGAGCCGAGACTCTGGATCAGACAAACTTTCAGGAGTTTCGAGTTTCCATCCTGGATTCCCCGACGACTGCTGCAGGACAAGCCGGTGCGTTACATGCCAAAGGCCTACAGCGAGGCCTGCTTTTTTGAGAATAGGATGACATTTTAGCGTGCTTGACACTCATACTCGTACTACTGTAGCTGCAGTAGCAGTTCTCACTGTGTTTGCAGTAGCGCAGTCATGTTTGTGAAGGCAGGCCCTAGGGCGTAATGGAGGTCACGGAGCGTGCAGAATCTTGGACATCGCTAGAATCACCAGCAATGTTACCGGCATCATGCCATCATCATAGTCATAGTCATAGTCGCCGTCATCATCACCACCATCACCATCATCACCATCATCATCATCACCACCATCATCATCATCAGCATCAGACTGTCATCTTCGTCAGCAAGGCATTTGCCATCATCTGTTCGTCATCGATGCTAGTCAACATCTCCCTATCTCTATGATCAGGACAAACAGTATGACTGCCCAGTCCACTGTAGTCTCAGCATCAGATTGTCGAGGAATGCATTGAACGCGTAATACTTGTACTGGTGCGTGGGGTGGTCGTAGCCAAGTCAGACTCGGAAGCAGGGACGACAGCAGGTACAAGTAGTCGTCGCAGATGCTTGAGCAGTAACAGTAGCAGAAGCACAGAAAACAGTAGTGTCAGGAGTGTCTCAAGGAGTAACCTTGGGGATGATGAGCTCGATGGAACTAAGCACAAGATGTTGCTGCAGAATGGCGAAAGTTGCAAAGTTGTAACAAGAATAGAGAAAGGCATCATGAAGATGATGAGGATGAGTTGTACCCGAATCCAGAAGCCTTGATGGGGGAAGCTGTGCCACCACAAAATGAACTGGGCGTCCGTATTACGCGTGTTCTCGCCTCATGAGACGAGCTGGGCGCACGAATGTTGCGGCAGGTCTCTGCAAGGTGAAGCTACGTGTATGTAGACCTGATAAGCCGCGTGGCGGGCAGCGGTAGTGGTAACAACAGTTTTTGCTGTTGCCGCTCACTTCTGTTGGGAGCGTTTTCTATCAACAGAAAGTCTTCTTGTCGGTCTTGTCGCGTCCCTTTCGCCGACATTCTCCACTCAGCAGATCTTGTCAGTGAGACCTCTTTAATCTCTCCTGGCAGTTGGTCCCCATGATGCGGACTTCCTCGCTCCTCGGCGTGAAGCAGCTCGAAGGCGACTTGTGCTAGGAGCATCAGATTCTGGAAGTGCGTGCCTCAAGGTTTGAGGGGCCTGGACCAGTCAGAGCCAATTCGGATGGTATCGTGCCATTCCTCCGCATGGTGCCAGACAGCACTGTGATCGAGGCCATCATGAGGGCAGCATGAGGATGACCAATGCTGTTGTGTTTGTTCGTCTAATGTTTTGGCCTTCGAAGTATCCTAGTGGGAAGCAGGACAAGCAGGTAGCTTGCAGTCTCGACTACTCTCTGTGATTGGATGATCTTGGATGTGGAGCGCGGGGATGTTGGTCATGGGGTCTAGAAATTTTAACTTGGTCACCGGTCCGGTGGGCTGGCGTAGAGTGCGACCCTGCCATCGCTTTGTTTTTTTGGTCGGATCCTGTTCCTCTCATCTCTCATGTGTCAATTGCCCAGTGGGGCTTCAGCTCCCAACTTCAGCTGTGTCAGCTCCTTTTCTTCAATGGGTGCCGGCCAGCCTTGTCGAGCTCGTGCCTTCTCAGATTATCCCTCCACCACCGTGCTGCTGCCGCAGCCTGGAGTAGCGAGCCTGCTCCAAGCCTGAAGCATTCTGAAGCGTCAGTTTTCGGCACCACTCCATGAAGCGCCCTCCGTCAAGAACTATCTTTGAAGTACGTAAGTTATAGCCTTGCTGGAACGAGTATGACCCAGCAGTCTGTAGCACTGAGCCTTGATGCGAAGGCGTTAGCCGAGCCGACCATTCGTTGTTGACTCATGCCTACATTGAATTACATCAAAATATTCATATATTAATAATTATATTCATATATTAATATATTAGTATATTCACATATATATATATATATGAGGACTGACTTCGCCCAGTATACCTGCCAGGATGAGGAACCCTTCTTCCCGAAGAGCTTCTCGGAGGCCGAGCCGTGATCTTGTCGCGACAGGATGCTGCAGCGACCTGTTTCGAGCTAGTCACAGTCTACACTGATGCTGGGCTTTTCTGGGGCAGTTTCCTCGGAGCTACTGTTGTGAGCGGGGCTTGCGCCGCAGGTGCACATGCCAGCGTCACGCCTCTCGCACCTCGGCTATTTTGCTGGCCTACCTGGGCTTTCCCAGCTTTCGGAGCATGGCTCCGACATGAGAGTGACTCGCCCAGAGAAGGGCCCCTGGCAGGTTCCAACAGCCAGCGCCGTCCAACTCCGATGGGCTCTTGGCCAACCGCGACTTCATGCGCGCAGTCGAAGCCGCCAGAGAGCACGCAGCACAGCAGCGGGCGGAGGCACCTGCAGCTCCTGGGGGTCTCGGCCTGTCGCAGGCCTCTGAAGCGCTCTCGTCGCGCCTGCGCTCGTGTCGCAGGAGGCCGCTCGGATGCCGGGAGGCGTGAAGAAGCAGGGGCACGTCTGCCTGGCGACCATGAACAAGGAGAAGATGTACGAAGGCGACTCACCTCTGCCTTAGTGCCACCCCGATTTGAAGCAGTGACCGGCCGACCATGCAGCACTGGCCAGGTGGCAGTCTGTTATTGTTTAGGGGAATTCAGACCTACCTGAGGCAAGATTGTCAAGGCTTTCAAATTGGGCAGCTCGTTCGCAGTGTTGAACGTAGTTCCACTCTTTACGGCTTTGCACCCCGGGCGGCAAGTTTTGCCCTCTTCGCCTTGCTATGCCCAAGGTCTTTTGTTGGATATCAATGCGGATGTGTTGGGCTTGCTTCGCTGGAAGCATGTCCGGGGCGTGCCAAGGACGGTCTTCACAGTTTTTCATGTCGCTAGTGACTGCTGCAGTCAGCCTATGAGTCTGTGTAGTCATTTTAGGCCTAGCTTAGTGGGGCTTGTATGGCGTTTCTGTCTACACTGGGCTGCTTCGGACCTCCAGGAAACTCCTGAAAGAGGGCGGCCACTTGGCCAACCTTCGAGTGGACACGGTGGCCCGGCAGAATACGTGGGCACCTAGAGCCTCACACTGTACAGCATGCTGGTCGTCCGATTGTCTTCTTTGCCTCTGTGACTCTGCTTTGGGAGCTTTGCACACTCAGAGCTTCGGACTGTCGGATGCATGGATGCTTAAGCAGGATATGCCGCAGGGCTATGCTTTTCGAGAGCTACTGTTGCTGTCGCAGGTCAGAGGAACCAGATTCACCTTGCGGCTGGAGTGTGCCGAAGTTGCAAGACTGCTTCAGGGTCTGTTCGAGCGCTTCGTTGGGGATGGGATGCGCACGTCTCAAGGCATCGGCCACGATGGCCAGACCTTCGAGGAGGAGGACTACCCGGATGTAGTCGCCCGCGTCTACGAGTGGGCAATGGAGCCAAAGATGCTCCAGTTAACGGAAGAAGTTGCTCTGACAGCTGTCAAGCGGCATCCCGGGCGAATGGGCCCGCGAGCAGTCGGTGATGGTGAGGGGCTGCCCATCCGACCACCACCTCCTTTCAGCATCAGCCGCCTTCGCCGTTCCGGGAAGTGCGGCCCACGCAAGGCGTAGGGAGATGTAGGGAGCCTTTCATCTCAAGGATCTCACTCAGGGGCTACTCCTGCAAGCAGGGACCCCTTCACTGAATCGCTGAAGATGCGGAGAAAACATCCTCTCCAAGCCTCAGAGTCTCCCACGGCTTTTCAGGCGCTGGGTACTCTCAAACTCTGGGTATTCTGCCCTTCACCGTCTGTGTCGACCGGGGCATGTGCGTGATTCCTGCTTGAGTCTTCATGAGATCCTTATGTCAGGATTGGGGTAACGTGCATGCTTCCTTGTCCTACAACTGTTCTTGCAAACTGGCCGTGTTGCTCTAATGGTTCTTCTTCTTATGCTCATGGTTCCTGTGAGACATACTACTGCGTATCGTGGTTGTAAACGGCTGGTAACTCTTACTACCATGGCTGGTGATTGCTATTGCTAAGAAGGCCAATACCGGGATTGTTCATTAGGAGGTTCTTTGCGTGCTTGGCCCCTTTAAGGCTTAGGGTCTTAGGGTCTTAGGGTTGGTGCGCTTCGGGTTTGGAGGTTTTAACCCCCTTCCTCTTCAAGGCCGTTGCAGCGTCTTGCGGCTTGCGCGACTTGGTCCGCGACCCAGTTGGGCGATGGATGGGAACCGAGCTTGAATTTCCGACGCTTGTCCGTAAATCCTGAAAGGCCCTCAACCCAAAGCCTCAGAACAGGTGGACTGTTTGATTGCTTTCTTCACGAAGCAGCATGGCTTCCTGGATCGTGCCATCAGGATCTGCACGCAGGCTGGGTGTCAGTTTCCTTGCAGAGTCAATGCTGTCAAGATATGACTTCGCCCCTGGGATTCATACCGAGTTGACTGCGGCACCTTACTGAGTCAGCCGATGCTTCTAATTTGAATCGTCATGCAGGGCTATGCTTGAAATTACAGTCTTGGCCGTGACGTGTTCTTCGAAGATCTCCTGACTGCTTTGCCGCTGTTAGTATTGACATAAAGACCCGACCTAGTTTGGCCCTCGCAGCCAGAAGGGTCTTCATGCTGTTACTCGTTGTGAAGACAGAACCAATGATGTAAAGTACAAGAAAACCGCGCCGGTCGTAGTCGTAGTTGCGGAGGCGGCAACCGAATTAGTGGCAGTAGCTGAGGCAGTTGTCCAAGGCAATAGTCGCGGTGGTACCAGCAGGGTGTTGCAGCGTTGGCGTCTTAGTATGAGTCGCAGTTGTACAGTTGAAGCTAGAGTCTATGCGGTGTTGGTGACGGTTGTTGCAGCGGCAACAGCAGCGGCAGCAGGAGTAGTATTACTAGCCGCCGTCGTAGTCGAAGTCGCAGCCGCAGTCGCAGTCGTAGTCGTCGTAGTCGTAGCCGTCTTAGCAGCAGCAGCAGCGGCGGCAGCAGCAGTAGCAGTCGGAGCAAGAAGCTTCCACAGTGCAGAAACCTCTACACCAGCAGAGTGTCCCCCCTCCTCTCAAAGCAGGTGCTGAAGCGGAGCCCGAGGCCTGAGCTCTGGGGATCTTCGGGCACACTGCACATGAGTTCAGGGTGCCTGTCTTGTACCTAGGGTTTCGGCTTCGGGGTCCTCTAAAGGAGATATGATAGAAATCGAAGCCCGAACGGAGAGCTTGACTTCGAAGATGACGCCCTGCACCTTGCATCTTATGGATCTTTCAGTGGTTCTATGTCTACCTGAACCATCCTGGTAGAGACCATAGCCGTCACAGGTTATGAGGGCTGTGACGAATAGCACGGGGCCCCGGCGCCCAGGAGTCCGCTCTCTTTTGGAAGCTCCGGGCCTGGAGTCGAAAGCCCAACCCTACCGGAAGCCACGAGTCCCTTCGAAGGAAACCCCAGATCCTAAAGCCTGAAGCCCAAAAGCAAAAGCACAAATATCCCTGGTAGCGATGAAAGAAGGGGGCGATAGAAAAGACCACAAGTTGAAAAGCTGTAGCACGAAAAGGCCAATCCTCGTTCCTCATTTCTTAAGCTCCAGCCGGAAACCTCAACCTCAAGCCTTATAGCACTCGTGTATATACTGTAGTCACCCGGTCACCCGTATAAGCCCTTAACGGAAGCTACCCTTATAGAACTCTGATTGTAACTTCAGAGTCGCTTACGAACCCTTAAACCCTGACAGCAGGTATCCCTTGGCGCTGCTCGTTCGTGGTGACTGCTACAAGTCCAGTCCCCCAGATGTTGGGGAGTGCTGAACTGCGGTAAGAACTTGGATTTTTGTACGGCATGTGTAAGGACGTAACAGTAATGTTGATATTTTGGTGACCTTAATAGAGGTTGTGGCAGTTTCGGGCCTCATTTCAGGGGCTTGCGCGGTCTTGCGGTTTAGGATGTGCGCGTTTACGATCTATGATTCACGGGCCTGACTGAGGACACCCTATTTAATAGGCCCTTTTCCGTCCTTTAAGGATTTAAGGTCCCTAATTATATTCAGTTTGAGAAATGCCTAGTACCCCTCATGGCCCTAATACCCCTAGTACCCCTGTAGCTCTAGTGCCCTACTGTTGATGAAACAAATCCTGCAATACCTCAACTATGGGAATTATGGTCTATTCCTGATTACGGGTAATGCAGGATTCGTATCATCGACCTCAGCACCCCCCAGGGTTTGGGGGATGGAGGCGCGGAAGCGTGGGTTTCTTTGCGGCCTAGGCCCTGGGTTGCAAGGCTAAACAGGCTTTTGGAGTTCGGAGTTTCTCGTTCAGTTTGACGGTTTAAGCTTTGGTTTTTTGGGGTTTCAGGTTTTGGGGTTTGGGGTTTAGGGTTTGGGGTTTGGGGTTTAACGGTTTAGGGTTTGGGGTTTAGGATTTAGGCTCAGTTTGTTTTGCTTGTTGTGTGCCTTTTGCAAAGGTTCTTTGGCTTTCCGCAGGACGGCAGAAGTGGAGCAAGAGGAGGGGTACTCATCATTATGACAGCATCAGCATGCAGTAGTAGCACTACTAGTAATGCCAACAACGCTGTTCACTAGTACAGGCCACGGTTTAGGGTTTAGGGCTCCAGTAGCTGTGTAGTAACATAAGTACCGGTAGCTACCTTGCTACTTGAAGGCCAAGATCCGACCTTTTTGGTGGGCCGAGCTGTGCAGCTAAGGTGTAACCAAGCCAGCAAAGCTTCGCGCCACAGTGCAACGGCGGATTACACGGCGCTTCTGGACAGACTGGCTTCGGGGCCGTGGGATGAGGGGCTGGGCCATTGAGTTCTTTGGTATAGGATTTTGGGTTGAGGGCAAGTAGCTAGCTTTCATCAGCAGTCGCCGCCGCTTCGCAGTTACGGCCCGCACAAAGTGCAGCGCTAACGGTGCAAGACCAAGCAGACCTTGATAACATAGTATGACAGCAGCTTGTCATGTGTGTTCACATAGTATGATGTGCTATAGTATAATATCGTATAGTGCAGTATATTATATATATATATACATACATATGTACATGAGTATCAGTATAGTATGGAACAGGAGCTGGACTTCAGCTATCAGGCCATCCTGTGCAGGCGCACTGCTGGGCCACTGGCTTGCTCTGTAGCTTCGTGGCCATGCTGCGCAGACCTTAGGGTTTCTTCCTACAGCGAGGCCTTCAAGGGCTTTGGAGTTTTGGGCGTTTGGGCTTTAGGGCTTTGGCTGTGGCTTCAGTTTCGGGACCAGGGCCCGGCTTCGGAATACATCGTGAAGCTGCTGGACCCAAGCATCTTGCCAGCATTGTCCGCACAGCATCTAGCAGGAGACACTCCCGTCTTCCCAGAGCTGCCCCAAAAATAAAAAGAGAAGAACCCTCCAAGCCCCAAGCCCTAGACCATCGAGTCCGCCGAACCCTGCAAGCCCCAAGCTCCCGCAGCCCAGAGCCCCCAAACACAGCTAAGTCTTAGCTGAAGTTTTTTATATAGTAACCCTGACCATCGCCATCTCTTCAATCCTAATAGCAGCGCTTCAAAGTTAGCCTTGCGAACAACCCTGGCAGCAGTCCTGAGATAAGCCTCGCATCCGCTGGGCCTCCGCCAGGCAAGCACCCAAGCCTGCACAACACACGCGGGCTGACGAGTTGTGTCCCCGGCACGCTTGCCGATGAAGTATGCAGCAGTAGGGTCAGGAAACCAAAGGAATAGTATCAGTAAAGTTGACATGGAGAATTGTCTTGCTGGTCGTTGTCGCCCACACTCTAGTGGGGGGGCGAGGAATAGGTAGTTGTACGACAAGTTTGGATGCAGCACTTTATTTGTACATCACTAGTTCTCGCTGCGCATGTGGACCCTGGAACAGATCATTTCGGGAGGCACCATGCGATCAGATTGGACTCACCGGCCCACCCAGGTTCATGGAGCTATGTGAGCCTCAGGGGCAAAAAGGGTTCCTGAGCTCCAAGTGTTGGGCTACGCCCTAGAACCTAACCAAGATGGTATTCCGGGTTCCAAACAGGCGGATGGAAACGAGGTGTTGAACAAAAACCCAAACCCAAGAGTTCGAAGAGGCTTTGTCGGGCTTCGCTGGCAGGCTCCTGAGCTTCCATCCCTTCTTGCAGATGCAATCGCCGAGACCCTATGCTTCCTATGCCCTCTGCAGGCCCGGGCCAGGGCCTTTCGAGGGTTTGGAGGGGATACGTATATAATATGATATAATCTTTAATGTAATGTATGATATAATATATGATCTAACTATATAAAATATAGTATTATATAATATCATGCATAATATTATTTTTTTTATTTTTTGTATGAAATATTAAATATAGTCTGCGCCGGATAGTCTCAGCGCCGCGTTGCCCAGGCAGGATTTTCTTACAAGAAGGCCCCCTGTTCTGCTTTAAGTCAGGGATCCTACTAGTTCGGGTTTTATATGACCGACTCCCCCCCCCCCCCCCTCCCCCGGTGTCTGCGACTCCCACTTTTTTCAGGCAGAAGGATCCGCTGGTGGTGGCCAGTCTCGTCCTATTGGCTGCCGAAGTCTCAGGTGGCTTAGGTTGAGAAGCTGTGGCCTCGTTCGATGCATCATATGCATCGTATACACATGTGATCATGTGTATATGCATACATGCTTTTTCTA